AAACGAGTGTATACGATTTTCATTGTTATTTTTCACAAGTTGTATATTATATATTTAATATTTATAGGGAAAAATGTTACACCGCTTGTACATTAAATTTTTTAATTAATATTCCAATAGTGTTAAAATAATAAAAATATAATAACTACTGTATACGTATAGTGAAAAAATCATCATCGGTGAAAAATCAATAAAAATGATGTTTAAAAATTAATCAATGGTTGAACGTCTGTATTGACAGGAACTTGCCAAACATTTAAAAAAATACTAGAACATTATACAAGCATATTTAAATACCACATTGAGCCTAATTAAAACTAATATATGGTACATTACGAATCTTCCCCGTGTCCAAAATATGACACGCATTAACAACAGTAAACGAACATGAGTAAAATCTACAAAAGATTTCACACAAAAGAGTCTCATAAATAAATTTACTTATCAATAATATATTTTCTCATATCTTACTTGAAAATGTCTCCTACCGACCTAAATTAAATCGGTCCAGGAATTTACAGAAAGAAATATTTAAGAAATATTCTTTCACACTTTCACGTGTTTTTTATGAGTTATAAGCAATGACAATCGAACAAACTTAATTTTGGTATCATCAATATTATTCTTTGGAAAAATAAATACGTAAAGTAAAAACAAATTGGTTAGATTACAACTCTTATCAGGTCAGTCTTTAGAAATTTACTTCATACACCTTTAATCAACTAATTTTATTAATATTAAATATATTTTTTTAAATGATTAGGTCCATTTTTAAATTTATTTCATGTTAAACATGTTGTTATTTATATATATTAAAATTAAAACAGCCAAATAGGTTACTTTAATAATTTTTTTTTTTTTTTATAAGCATAATATTTTGTTAAACGATACATACATTTTAGGTCAAACGCTATTAAAAATTGTACACCACTATGATTATTTTATTTTTTTCTTTAGAAATATTTTATGAAAATCGTATTAATTCAAAATTGAAATACGATTTAAGTTATAGGTGTTTTTCGTAACTTATAGCGAAGCTTATGCTCGTTATTCTCTGAAAGTGATTAATGAAAATTCTTTAATATATATATATTGTACACTTAAACGCAAACATAAATGTCGCACCAGTAATCACATTTAGTCATTTCGTTCGATACGTACATATGTATATTAATTATTACACGTTGTACAGAGTACTCTTTAACGTGTAAAACTTCAAAATTATTAACAATAAGTGTATGATGTTCAACAAATACGATTTTAAAACGATGATATATCAGTAAATAATTTTTCTCCATGGGCAAAGGTGTGGAAATCTCAATCACAGGTAGTTATACTACTATATTGCCACGCGCAAAAGTCCTACATTAAACGAAACATCGTAATAAGAATCGGTGACATGAAAACAATTGCAGTGAACCATTCTATCGGATTAATTTCGTTTCGGTTGTAATACATGCACGATGACATTATACATGTATAACGTATATAATATATACGGAGTATTTTACTGTATTTGTCCCTGTCAGTTACTCGTTTTCTAGTTTTTGAATCCACTTTAAAATGTTATCTACCGCTGTACTGAATTCCCATATTCTTCAAAATAATAACTGATTGTTTTGTAACACAAAATAATAAACAAAAAATACCAATGAAAATTTTTATCATTCTACAAATTAAATTACGGAATTTTAAGGTCCATATTTTGTAAAATTATAATTTTTTGAAAATTTTAAAATGTGTTTCAAAATAAAAATAAGCCTAAATATATATTTGGAAAAATTCCATTTACCTAATCTACAAGATGATAATTTTTAAATAAGCTATACATTGAAAAATATTTTTATTTATTCATTTTATTCGTGGAAAAATACAAAAAGTACTAACTGAAATCAAATTTAAAAAATATTAGTTCCATACAAAGTTATTTCCCAAGACAATTACAGTAAAACACTACCCTGCGTTATGCAAATAATTTATATACTATCATAATAATAAATGGTGATGAGTATTTATAAATTTTTTTTCTTAACGTCTTCGGAAGTAAACCATCCAATTGGTTATTATTTACCATAGAAATATATATTATAAATTATAAATAGAAAATAATTCATCATAGGCCAACCTCAATATTTGCATGGATCTATTGTGATATAATATATACAATATATTCGTAATTGTTTCTTTTAGATAGAATTGTATCAAGTAACAAAAAATATACATCTTCCGTTATAAGTATAATAGTACAAGTATATACAAATATATAATAATAGTTACATTCGACGTGTAGATACATAATTTAAAATTATCTTATAAAGTTAAAAATTTGCGTCAATGTTAACTTATTTTCATGATCACGTTCATAACGACGTTCAATCATTATCCATATGTTTCGCGTGTATGTTAATATTACAAAAAAATAAATTTATATAGTTTTTCACAATCCAAAAATTCCCAGCCATAATTTTCTTATATTTTACGATGTTTGATTTATAACTGAACGAGAATAGATGACTAAAAACAAATTTGAATCAGACCTGTAACATTGTATACAGCGACGATGCATACATCGCGGTTGATATACTATATTTATGTATATAGACTAAGAAAAAGAAAATAAGATTCAAATGTTGTCATATTATAAAAACGCAAATGCTGGTTTACATCCGGATAAAAAAAGGATGGTACAAAGGGAATAAAGTAAACGATTGATTTTCAACATGTTTTTTTGTCTTCGTAATAAACGTTATAATATAATTATATTATGTCATCGCTGAATGCCTATAAAAAAAAAAACATCACATCAAATAGAGTGGATGATCCTAAAGAAAGCATATCGTTGTAGTTTTTGGTGAAAATTGCCATAAGTTTATAATGGAGTTTAATATTTAAAAATAATGCTGCAACAGTTATACGCAAAATTATCAGAATTATTAAGGTTAAATTTTAATAAATACAAAAATTCAATTTACTTTATTTTTTTAATTAAAATCAATACGTTTTTTGTGCACAGTAAAATCTACTTAATATACTTAGATAAATTACTTACACGACCAAAACACAATATAATTAATAAATCCTTTACTTTTTGTCTCAAAAATATGAACTTTGTAAATTTACTATTTAAATTTTCCTTCATTGATTTCACCAAAAATTTGACTCCTTGTATATAATATAGAGCTACAATAAATTTTTACAAAAAAAATCGGTAGATGGCTCTCGGTATGATATATTATTTACACCTTGTGTCGATGACATGTTTTTTACTTTCTATATATTTCAAAATTACGCTAATAGTCCTTCTTATAAAAATCATTAACTTTGAATAAATAAGGAAAACATGGAATATTTATATTTATTTAAATATCTTGTAAATAATTTGTCGATTAAAATGGGCCAATGGTTTCTATTAACTACCGACAACAATAATTGCACCTGATTGCAATCAGGTTGAAAAATCATTTTAAAAATACATTTTTGCGCTCAAAGTAATAACCTCTTTAATGTTTAATTGTATAATAAACTGTTTGTGTCACACCTATACAACACTGAAATAGTAATTAGAATTTTTAATTGCATCTCAAAGATGAAAGGAAACAGATTGGAAGGTCATGACGAGCGATAACCGTAGGTTAAAACACATTTTAAATTCGATACATTGACGATAAAGAAAAAATAAATAAATCATACTTTCTTTGAGTTGAAACTTATTAAGATCAGGTCATAAATGCCATTAAGTACTAATATCCTCTTCGAAAAATATTTATAAATTTACACCGCACTGACAGTGTTACAACCATCTATCTTACTTATATTATTAAAAATATTTTAACCATGAAATATAGCTAAAATTACTATAAAAAACGAATATATTTATAATGACGAAACAATTAAATACAAAGTATAAATTTTGCTACACAGTACACAATATAAATTAGTGATACCTTCAATATTTAATGCGACTACAGAATTTTAGCGAACAGCTTTTTGGGATTATTTGCAATGTTTTTTTTTATTTTTTTATTTTTTTGATCTGTATACGTATATTTTAAAGACATTTTATCAGTTAAGTTAGTTTTCGAGGGTTTCAGCACAGTCACAACGAAAACTGTAATTACAGTTGGAATACGTCGTTGCTTTTAAAAAAGTATACCTCTTCTCTCTTGCCAAGAAACACGAGACACTCGTATCCATGCAATATGATAGATGCTAACCGTGCGACGAGACATTACGATACAGTCACGAAAAAATACCAATTTGAAGAATGCAAAAACACGTTTTACAAAGGGAGACTGAACCCCAGTAGCGAAAATTCGGAAAAAGATTTGAAACTCTATACGCTTGGTGCACGACGAATATGTTGGTGGGCGAATCAAGCGTGTACTATACTCACGTAAGAGTGACGTACGCGCACGTGGCCGTGCATCTCGTGGGCTGTAGTCAATTTGCACCAAAATTGACTCAAACTATATACAATATGTGTAATTTGCACCAAAATATTTGAAATGCGTTAGTAATTTGCCCTAAAATAAGGATATGTAATTTGCACCAAAACTAAAATCTATTACTTTTTCAATAGTATTTTGATAAAACCAGCGTACAAGTATCTATATATCGATATATAAGAAGCTAAAAACACAACATTTTAGGTTAAAGATTCTAATCCGTTATTTAATTTATTTATACTGAGGTCTATACGGTACTTCAGTTTTGATCTCAAAGCTACCTTATAAGAATAGTCAATAATTTATGATGGCAGTTTAATAATTTCAATATTTTAAGCAAAAAATCATTATTGTCATTCGAGTCTATCCAGTCTAGACGTTGATGAGGATACTGAGGAATAATCGAATATTCGATAAACAAACAAATAGATATTCATTTTGGCACAAATTACAAATTCTACTTTCGACTACCTGGAGTGGTGCAAATCACACGTCTTTAATTTGGTGCAAATTGCCAACTCCCATCTCGTGCCGTGCATAATGTATGTTACTCACCGCGGAGCGTCGTCGTGGGTTTGGATTCGATACGAGGCACGTGAGTACCATGTCGTCGGATCGGCCGGCCGTGCACGTGTCTGTCCGTAGGTACGCGAACGACTACTGCAGCGGCGGCAACCGTTGCGGCGTGACCGGCGCATTTTTCCGGAGCGCATGTCCGCCGACGTCTTGGTTAGATCGTCGTACGCACGTGGATACAGCCACTGCGTGAACGCTGTGTGGCCACGGAATGCCAAGTTTAAACCATTGCAAAATCCTCGGCCGAGTAAAACAGCAGCGATAAATTAAGACGGGTCCAGACCCGGAACGTGGGCAAGGAAATCCACGAGGCGAGTAAAAATATGCCCTCTAACTTTTAGAGAGAAAGAGAGAGCGAAGTAAACGAGCAGGCATTAAGCCCGAGAAAAGCCCTTTACAATGTCGCATCAGTGAAGCGCAGTCCTCGCTCGGATTTCAAAGCTCCACATCGGACTTTTCAAAAGATACATATCAATACATTAAAAAAAAAAAAAATCAACCTTTAAAAGTTAGATTTCGGAAACACTCGTCTATACATACATATTTTTCGGGGTTAAACGAATTTGAAACATTTTAAGTTTTATTGTATTCTTAATAAACATTTGAAATTTTCATGTTTTATAGAGCAAAACAGCAGGAACATGAATACTATATAAATAGTAATTTTTTTATCCAATGAAGACAACCTCAAAAAATGATTTTATTTCTTAAAGATATTGGTATGTAGAATTGTATTTAATAACGTCCCAAAATTCATATGTACCAATTAAAAATAAACCTGCCTAAATTAAGTACGAATCTTATTAGTTAATAACCTCAGCCGTTAACACTGTAACATAATGAAAAAATTATTATTATTTTTCATGGTGTGTTAAATTAAAATAAAAACATAATTATTACTCTAATCAGTAGCCATTGGATTTTTATAATAAATACCTAATCATTATTTATTATCAGGGCCAGCTCTAGACAAAATGTATACGTAGGAAAAATCAAAACTCGCCTTCCTTTCGTTTTTGATCTCAAAAAAAAAATGTTTTTATTTAACTATAGACAATTAACGAATTACATATAAATATTATTAAATTATAAGAATTTTATTTTTTATTACATTTAAATAGTCCATATTTTTACTAAAATTTAAATACCTTAAAATAATAAATTTTCTTCACAAAAATTTTAAAAAGGATATAATAATGAATCCAACATTTTTTATTTTTAATTAATTTACAGATTCTACTACTGATATTAACGCAATGGCTTTGCTTTGTATCATCAGCGTATAGCCCGTATCGCCGCGCCAAAATAAATAATTTATATTATTATTATCGACGTACAACGAACGTCATTTAAAAATAAAAAAATCAAATGTTAAGAGGACGCCATATCCGCATGTGTTGTTTCCGTTTGACATACATACAGCATTGTAAATTTGCTTTTAGTAGTTCAAATGTAGTAATGTTAGCTCAATATTAGAGTAAATTAATCTATATTTAAACTTTGAGGAAAGAAATTGTATGTGTTTTGTTGATCTATTTTTTCCAATATTTAAATTTTTAAGCGTGTTATGAGCATGTAAAAAATAACAATTAAAAAAAACATCATAACTCGCTAAAAAATTAAAATATCGGAAAACTCAACCAACAAAACACAGATAATGTTCTTTCCTTGACGTTTGATAATAGGTTAGTTTACTCTAATATTAATGCTAACATCACCACATTTGAATCACTGAACGCAAATTTGCCGGTGAAAGCCAAAAGCGAAAATGGTTAATTTTTTCGATAGACTAAAGCGCAAATTCATTTTGCGCTTTTGTACCTTAGTAGTGGGATAAAAGCGCAAAAAGAAATACTGCACCCGTTACACTATAAATTTCATTTTAAAATAATTAATAATTATTACACATCGTAATGAAATATTTTGTCATGTAGATGAAGAATCAAAAATTGTAATTTTTACAACCAAGAGCAATTATACTTACAGTTCATATATGTAGTTAATATATTCTACATAAATAAATGTACGTTCAAGTGGTGTATTGTATGTTGCCATCCAAAACAACTGATATTTATGCCAAAATATGACATTTAATAAAAACATTATGTACTAACGAATTAAAACCTCAAAATATATTTATGGATTTTAAATTATCTACTCATAATGATCATAAATGCTTATGATTTTGTGTATTTTTCCATATGCACAAATAAAATGTTACCGGTTTCACTTAGCACAAGCTTGGTACAAACAAATTGGGAAATTGGAACTTAAAATTGAATATGATAAAAATGAATCAGAAATTTCAAATTGGTAAAAGTATTTTTTTGAATTAGCATTTTTACTTTCCACTGAAATATCTGATGCGTTTTATGAAAAATTTTCTATTCCTCCTGACAATGATATGGTATAAACGTTTACTGATTATATTTTAGCAAATTTTATTGAAAATTACAGCACGTATCAACAGCACCTCTGGGCTGAGCCATCTTCAAATGAGCCAAGGACTACTAATGGTCCAGAATCATACCACCGTCATTTGAAAAATCAATTTTATAACCCATATCTATCTATTTAAATTTTATCGAAGTGCTTAAACAACCAAAGTTTTTAAGGCCGAAGTTTACTTAAAAATGTAATCAAATGGGTGAAAAACCACAAATCGCAGCTTTAAAGTCAACTCCAATATAATGCATAGAACATGTATACTGAAAAAACGATTTGCAGATTAGACTATTTGAAAACTGTTGGCTTCAAATTTTAAAGTTAATACTAATATTTATTATACCTACTATTTGTGTTTAAATTTTTTATAAATGTTTTTAATTAATTTTATAATCACTAAAAGCTTAATAACTATATGATTTTAATAAAATAAACTTCCTTTTTGTAAAATTGATTTGCGCTTTTGGGTTGCATTTGGGTTATATTTTTCGCTTATGGACTATGGCTAATTTGCTGTGTTGTACGTATGTCAAACGGAGACAACACATGTGGGTGTGGCGTCCCATACGTTATCTTCAGTTTGAATTTGGTGTATTAAACATTGTTTATCAACTTGTACATAAATCGTCCCAACTAAGGGTCACGTTATTGTACGTGAATATGAATGTACGTGTTCACGTATACCGTGATCACGTGAATGAATCAAAATAAATCACGTATGGTTAATACACGGCAATCAACGAAAGCTTAATCACGTGAGCACGTATCTGAATCATATTCACGTGATCACGTGAATTAATATATTCACGTGAACTGGCATTAATCAAAAATTTGATTGTATAAAAAATAATTATTTATATATAATTGTTAATGATACCTACATGGTGGTCATATATTGCATTACAAAAACCGATTTTAGGTACTATTTATTTTGTTTATTTTATTTGAAAATATATTTATAAGTTTATTGATTAGCTTCATGATCTTTTATTGAACTCTGTAGTGCCCGTCGCATGTGACTTATCTAGTTGTTGGATAAGTAGTTGTGTGCCGGGAAATCTTTATGTGCTCGTAGTAATTCACCGTGAATTATTCACGGCGTCCGGTTGTGAAAATTGAACTCGCACACTGATACCATCATTTTGATTGAACGTTACAAGTTATAATTGTACAATGTAAAATCGTAAACAATTATCATAAATACGAATAAAAATTCCTAGTAAAATTTCCTGTAATGAAATCCCTTTTCATAACTTTATTGATTTTTTTACCAAAATCGAAAATTGTTGCGCTAAATATATTTTTGAGTGTAGATGGGCATCACGTGGATGCAAGACCACTATTATATTATAAAAAAATAATTAAAAATTATAAATAAGATGTCTTTTTCGTTCATTATTTTGTTTATCTATTTATTATAATTTCTTAGATTAATATTTATTTATACATAATTTATTATTACATAATCTATTTATTATAATATTTTAGATTATTATTTATTTGTACATTATTTGTTATAATATTATCTATTTGCTTAAATTTGTTTACGAAGTTTTATGTATATTAATTAATATTAAATTATTTACGTCATAATTTAAAACATAAGTTATTATTATTATTTACTATACGTAGGTACCTAAACAGTTGTACTTAAACCTAGTTTATCCATACTCATTATATACGAGGACCGATGGCGACAAACATGATTATGTAAATTCACGTATTCACGTGATTATATAAATTCACGGATTCACATGAATAAAATTATAAATACACGTGAAATTTTAAGCAACGGGTTTTATAAATTAAACCTTAATTTCACGTGAGCAGGTGAAAACGTATACAAGTGAAATAGGGAACCCTAGTCCCAACCAAAACTTAACTTAGTTAATTGTCGGATACATATCAGTTATTATTTTTGTTATTTAAATATATTAAATAATATCTTTTTTTCTCATCAGTGTTTCAAAAACGGTTTTCGGTTTTTGCGTTAACTTAAGTAACAATATATCATTCTAAATACGGCCCTGCCTACCATCAAGGAAATGCCGCTCAGGCAGAGGCCTGTATTGCCTGTGCCTTCCACCAAGCCTGATACATGCCAAATGATTAAACTATTCATCATCAATTATATATGATTGTTTAGACAAGAATAAAGTGTTACGTTGCTAAGAAATTCAATAAAAATAATTAATATAAATATGATATTTAGGTATTCGTATAATCAGTGGTACGATTAATCATATTAGTATTCAAATATCAAAATCAAAATATAATATTGCTTGTAATTTAATTGAAAATAATGCGACATGCACGTACGCAATGATTTATATTTTTGTGCGCGAGGAGATTACTTGAAGATGTTTCGTAGCCACAGTAGTTTGACGGCAAGTCTCAGACTAATGTATTATAAATAGCAATCGTATTACCAAATAAATTGGCGAAGGGTTTAATTTAAACCGTTTAAACACAGAAACGGTTTTTTTCACCGTATGCGACTATGATACGAGTATACTATGTAAATATTACGAATATGTGATATTACTATCTGAATTACAAATCGGAAGCAGCCAACTGACAATGACTGCAGCCTAAATCTTTTGTTTCGTGTTTCCCAATCACTTTTCTCTTCTCATTTTTATAGCTATGT